GGAAATTCTCCTTTATTATTTGTTTAAATAAGTTTTCCACTTGTGGCTGTTCCTCTTCCCCTTCTGGGACCCCTATAATTCGGATGTTGGAACATTTAAAGATGTCCTGGAGGTTCCTAAGCCTCTCACCATTTTTTTGAATTCTTGTTTCTTCATTCTTTTCTATTTGGTCATTTTTTCCCTCTTTCTGGTCTATTCCTTTGATTTGAGTCCCAGTTTCCTTTCCATTACTATTGGTTTCCTGTGCCTTTCCCTTCATTTCAATTAGTTTAGCCTTCATATGTTCCTCTAATTTGTGACTAAAATCAACCAGTTCTGTGAGCATCCTGATCACCAGTGTTTTGAACTGTGCATCTGAAAGTTTGGCTATTTCTTCATTGCTTAGATTTATCAGCTCTGGGACTCTGAGTTGTTCTTGAGCTATGTTTTGATCTGTTGGTGCCTGTTCTGTATGAGGAGAGGCACCTGAGGTGTTCACCAGGGCGGGGCCACCCAGGTTGCTGGGTTGTGATACTGTATGTGGGGGCAGGGTCAGAGAGGGACAATGGGGGTCCCCTCTGCTGCTTCCTGCCGCTGGGGCCTGCACGGTCTGTCTCACTGCTCGCTCCTCGGCTGGTTTATCTGCGTGAGAATGTGTGACCACGGTCAGCCTTTGGCCTTGCACCCTCACTGGGTCCACCCGTTGCTACTCCATGCCTGGGATGCACCAATGGCTGCCTGCAGGCCTGGGTTGGTCCAGGGGATCTTTCCTGCCCATTCCCGCCCCGCTGCTGGCTCCGCTCCTTTTACCAGTCTGGCTGAACGGTTTGTTGTTGTTGGACGTATAGTTCAATTATCTGTGTTTTGGCTGCGTTTTTTGTTACTAAAACTTCGTTGTCTTTAAACTTGCTTGTGTGAGAAGACACAGTGTTTTCACCTGTGCCTCCATCTTGGCGGAAGTCCCAAACAAGACTTTTTAAATTGTGGGGCTCAGTCTCCTTAGGCAGCAGTGACTGGGATAGGGGTGGGTGTGGGCAGCTCTCGTCACCTCCACAGAACCACTGCCACAGCCTTCTGACCTCAAATGGGAAGTTGGGCGACGAGTTCATTTTTTGGTGATTGGTTATTTATAGGTATTTAGGTGTTCAGTTCCTTGTTTTTTTCTGGGATTGTTGATTGAGCTCCAGGCATTATGTGAAACATGTAGCACTGTCTCTTTGTTACTGAAGGAATTTTAAGAGGTTGAGGCAGCCCAAAGGGTCACTGTGTTTTGTTTTGTTTTGTTTTGTTTTGTTTTGTTTTGTTTGTCACTCAAATCCTCTGCTCTTTGCCCTTCTGGGAGAAATGCTCTGTGAGGGTGAGCCTGCCCTCTCTGCCCCTCCTTGCTCCCCTCTCACTGTCCTGCTCACACGCCCAGGGTACTGTAGGAGGTGGCTGAGCAGCCCTCTGAGAAACTAATTCTCACCATTAGAGAAGTTAGAGAAGAAGCAGGAGGGGAACTTGAATTGGCAAGATTTCTGAGGGCAAAGATCTGGTGGGAATGTGGGGTCGATGAGGAAGTGCTGTCTCCGTGGTCCAGCAGCAGGAGCCCCAGAGAGAGACGCTGGGAGGAAGGCAGGTCAGCCTTGTGATGCCTTTCCTAAGAGTGTGGTCAGAAGGTGGTAGGAGCGGGTGGTCCTGAAAAGCAGTGATCAGGTGAAAACGGGTGCAGCCAACAGCTGCTCACTTGGCAAAGATCAGAGGCCCTGCTGAACCAGCCCTGGAGTACTTGGTGACCACTGAGAGCTCTCACGGTCTGGGCTGCAGGCGTGGGCAGATATGGTGTGAGGATCAGTGACTTTCCGTCCCTTCCTCACTTTCATTTCCAACCACACCCCAGCAGTCACAGAGGCAGCAATGATCCCCTGATCGCGTCCTAACTGCTGTTCCCTGGGCTTGTGCTTGCACTGGTTCTGTGCCTAGAGAGCCCTGCTCTGTCCTAGCAACCCCCACTCATTCTCCACTGGGCCCCTGGGCAGCGTAGATGCCTCCGTGCACCCACAGCACCCTTCATTCCACCATCACCCGGATCAGCCTGAACTGCCCTCAGTTTATGAGGTAGAGGCCTGTGCTTATACAATCGTTTCCTACTAATAATAGTAACAAAACTGGTCCCTCACACTCATCAGTGTTCCCGGTCCCAAGTTCAGAGCAGCCCAGGCATTACCTCAGTTACCCTCAACTGCTCTCAGAAACAGGGGCTATTATTAACTTTTCTGTTAAAAGAAAGGGTAAGTTGGCCAATAGCTTCAAAAATATCAGTACTTGAAAGACAAAGGCCCCGGAATTGTTTGTACATGACAGATAAATGCAACAGGGGATCATGGGCCAAGAAGGGGTTTTTTGTCCTGTAAAGATTCCTACTGAGACAGAATTGGAGTATGGTTGATGGACTAGATAAAAGTGTATCAATGTGAAATTTCCTGAAGTCAGTCCTTGAATTGTGGTTATGTAAGAGAATGTCCTTGTTCTTAGGAAACATGCTGAAATCTTACAGAGCAAAGGGACTTTGAGTTTTACCTTATTCTCAAATGCATCAGGAGAAAAATATGTATATGCACATATACAGAATGATAAAACAAATGTGGCAAAATGTTTTTGAGAGTTGGGGGCAGGAGGAGATTGAGAGATTTGCCCAACATTTCAGAGCTGGTTGGTGATGATGCCAAGATTCAGACCCAGGCGATCTGATGCCACCGCTTACTCTGGGGACCAGCACACTGTAGGTCCTCAGGGCATGTCTCTGAAATTTATAAGCAAACACATCTCTACAGGTATGTAGAGAGCAAGCAACAGATTAAATGCACAATTATCTTTTAATAATCTACATAATAGTCTTTAGAACTTTGTGCTGGTGTTGTTCTCTTTTCCCATTGTGTCTTGTGCCTTCTGTTCCCTCATCTTCCACAGAAGCTCTTATGCATGCCCTGCTGAAGACATAATATTCACTCTGCTCTTCCCGAGTAGGCACTGCAAAATTCTGTCCCAGTGGGCTTTCCCTGGAAATGCAGCCTGCCTGGCAGGGACTCCAAACTCAGTCACAGTCTCAGTTTTCCATCAGTTCTTTGTTTTCATCCCTTATCCCCAATCCACTCAGATAATGTCTTTGATTATTATTCAACAAACACTGGCCACCTCCTCAGCCCATAACCCCTACTGTTCTGATGAGCTCCCAGGCTGTTCTGATGAGTGGCCTAAACCCAGGGATGGATGGATCAAGAAGAACAAAATGAACTAAATGATCTTTTTGTTTGCTGTAAAGTGGGACCCTCATTTGACTTGCACAGAGAGGCAGAAGCAGAGCTGCCTTAGTAAAACACTTAACTGATTTATTTGTGCTTTGCCTTCTTCACGAAAGGATTTATTGGGTTCGCCAAAAAGTCTGTTTAGTTTTGTCCATAAAAGACACATTTTTCATTTTCAACAATAACGTTATTGATTTCAATATTTTGAGTATGGCCATCTCCCACGTGGTATAACGTTGACCGTTCTCAGTTAATGTCTTAATTTGATTGCTATCAACTTCAACTGGTCTTCCTGACCATCCAGCAAGAAATCTCCAGCACAAAACTTCACAAACCACTTTTGACACATTCGATTGGTCACAGCACCTTCTCCATACACTGCACAAATCTTTTTTCCCATTTGAGTTGTTTTTTACACTTCTTGAAATAATAAAGCATAATATGCTGAAAATGTGTCTTTTCTTCCATCTTCAGTATTAAAATGGCTACAAAAAATTCACCAATTTGGATAAGATTTTTTTAAATGCATGCTGATATGACAGGTGTCATAATACAATCTAACAAAATTGTTTCAAATGAAGTTAAAGACAACTAAGAGCTACTGGAGTCATCTTACAGAAAAAAAACAAAATGGACTTTTTAGCCAACCCAAATAAGTTGGAAAAATGCATCATTTGAATTCTGGGAAAAAACATAAAAGAGAAAGTTTTGTTCTGGGGAGTTTTCAGAATCTTGGCTGAATAATGTAAGGGACTACAGATAAATTATAGCAAGGGCAGAGGGAAGGGCTAGAGTTTAAACTAAAAAGAGGTGTGAAGGTTGAATAACCACCTCTCATCTGTGTCTTCCCCGGAATTCCCAGCAGAGACGCTGGTGTCTTGAGCACCCAGAACATCCCCCACTTCCCCATTTCTCTTTCACACAGCCTCTGTGTTCGGGGCCTTGTCCTTTTCAGCAGGACCTAACTGAACTCTCCTGGTTCTCTTCAACTCAGTTCATCCTAACCTACGTACTTCTGCATGTTCATTCCTTGCAAATTACAAGAGCTCTCCACTTACCACAGTTGAAGGCTTAGATGATTTTTTGACTTTAATAAAAGAATATTTAATACATTCCAAAATTTAGCTCAAAAGCCCTTTTCTTTTGCTCCAACTCAGGTTCTTTTATCTGCATATTCAAGCCCTTTGCCACATGCGCTGGTCTGAAGCATAGATAATATCCCTGCCTCCTCTGCCTTGCTCATGCCAACTCCTTTGCCCGGAAGGCTGACTCCCATGTGTCCCTGAGAACCCAGCTTAGTCTCACTTTGGCCATACACTGACCATGTGCACATGGGGACACTGCCTCCTGGGAGCCCACACTGCCCCTAGCATTCTTTATGTGAGGTATGCCCTTCCGGGATTGCATTTTCACTGTGACATCTCCCCTGCTGCCCGTGTGGTGGTTCACAAGGCACAGACACGCTTAACAAATGTTTGCCAGTTGATAAGACTTCTTCTGCAGGTCAGAGACTTGAGGTGGAGCCATTACTCCAAAAAGGTGATTTCTGTTGAATAATAGTGGGGAGTTAGGGGGCTTAGGCCAAGTTTGCATCCTGTGGAGCAGAGAGGCGAGTGCTGAGCTCTTGCCCTACTTCATGTGAATGCCTTATTTTAGGAGGGTGCTTCCTGCAGGTATAGTCTGGTGTAGGAGGCGGGGCTTGTTTGCTCACTGCCATGGGGGTGCTTTGTTTTTCAGATTGCAGAGCCTGAGGCCTGCGAGCAGATGTACCAGAGTTTAGCACGAATCCATTCAAACTATTACAAACACAAGGTGAGTGGGCCACAGTCTTTTATATCCCCAGCCCTCTGACTGGAGAGGACCTATAAGAACAAGTGAAAATCTGATTATACAGTGTTTTGTAAAGACTTGTGGTTTTGCTACTTTCAAATGTAACCAGTAATTTCAACCAAGCCAACAAAGGGACCTGGTGGAGGAGGCATTTAGGTCACTTAAGTAAAAGCTATTTATAATCTTGAATAAAAGCCATGCATTATATATGCCAAATGTGTGTTTCTGGATGTATCTGACAACCAACTGCTGGATCCTAGATTTTCCCATCTACTCTGGTGGAAGTGGCATTTCCCCACAGTCTGGTGAGAAAGAAGGGGTGAGTGGGGAAAACAGAACAAATTCCATGGAATGAAGTTTATCCTAGGCTTAAAAAGTGTGTTCAGTAATTACCCAAGTACACAGGGTGGGGCCAAAGTGGGTTTACAGTTGTGAGTATGCAAAAGAGTTTATTCTTGCATGATTATTAATTGTTATATTCTATATGAACAACTGTAAACCTACTTTGGCCCCACCCTGTACATGGCTAAATGCTTATCCTACATGGAAAAGGATTTCTTCTGAATCCTCACAACTCACATGTGGTTCCACAGCAGCGGTGGGGCATTGCCTAGGAGCTGGCTAGAAATGAGTCCTGGGCCCACCCATCCTGAGTCACAGTCTACCATTTCCCCAGAAGGATTCCCATGCATGTTTAAGTTGGGGCTGCCTGCCGCTCTCTGACCCCCAGGTGGCGCTGCTCTTCTCCTGCAGGGCCTCTTGTCTCAACACTAGAGGTCCAGGCAATGTGGACCGAGCAGGCTTCTGGTTGCAGGTGGTGCTGCAGAACTAATCCTCTCTCCTCCCTTCTCTTCCTGTCTGCCCCACGTGACCAGTACCCTCGCCCCAGAGACACCAGCTTCAGTGGCCTGTCGTTGGAGGAGTACAAACTGATTCTTTCCACAGGTATTGAAAGCACAGCTCTCCTTTTTGGTTGGTTTGCAAATGATTCTTTGAGTGGCCATAGGGAATTGTTTAATAAGACAGATATGCTAGATGGACAGTCTTGTGGAATAGCCCAGAGGAAATTCTTTGCCCATAGAATATGGAGGTGGTCAAAGGCATTATTTGAAAAAAGAAAACCGATTTTTAGAGCTTTTAAATTCAAGACTGGGCAGCAGGAAATGGGAATAGGTATTTGCCAAATGGAAATAGTTTAAATCAGGCTGCAAGGAAAATAATTTTATTTTTATGATCCTGAGGGGGCTTTATAAATAGTGAAGGTTTTAATTAAAATAAAAAGCTATTCAATAAACATGTATGGGGGTATCCACTAAGAGTTATCTGACCCAGGGGATGTAGTCTGTGGGTTAGAAGTGGGTTTAACTAGGTATGTTTGGGAGTCATTGATAAACCATGATTAAACCAGAAAGGAAATACCCTGCCTAGCCCATCCCCTCTTTACAAGACCAGTGCTCTAACCCCTGAGCTATGGAGCCCCCACCCGTTCTTTACTTCCCATCTCCACTGTCACTGATGAGGGGAGCCTGGGTTGAAGTAGGCAGGTTCTAGGAAATTACTATTTTTATTGCCAAGGATATCATATACAAAAGTAGGCTAACCTTTTCTGAGAGGGCATGGCCCTGAAACATCCGCCTTCTGGAGGTACTCTAGAAATTTCTCTTTCTTATTCCTCTGGCAGCCCTCAACACTACATTTTAGGGTTTTGGCCTTCCAGAAAACTCCTACCCGCTGAGCAGACGCACACCTGGTGGTATAACCTGCTGTCTTGTCACCTGATCCTATTTTCATTATAGTACCTGGAAAACTGGATAAAGATATGTTTGTCCTGCAGGATCACTTTATTGTCAATTTTTAAAAAATTCATACACATATATAAATGTATTCCTATGTCCCTTGGCCCATGAAATTACCAGTATTGATGCAGTGTCATTTTGAGGACCCAAGAGTTTGAGCAAAGTTTGAACTTGAAATGAGAATGGAAATAAGTTCTGGAGGGAAGTCTCTGAGTAGGGAGGGATCGGGCCACAGTGCAGGAGACGAGCTGTAGACCCCCAGCCCCCGGCCGGTGCCACCGCTTGTTCTGGCCTGGAGATTGGCTCCAGGAAACTTGCTGACAATTAGTCTTCACAACAGGCCTCGTATTTCTGTTGTGACCGTGTGGAGTAAGCTTACCAAATGTTTCCTCTGACAAGCCAGGAAAACACCTGGCAGTGTGTGTAGTGAGAGGATTTGAGGCCTGGGGAGTGGCCTTGGTCTGGGTTCTAGGTGTGACCATCCTGGACTTGGGGTCACTGGAGGCTAAAAAGGCCTCGTGGCTTGTTACGTAGTCAGGGGTCCGTCCCTCAGCATCCCGCTTTGTGCCCACAGTGGAATCTGGCCTGTGGGAAGTCCCAGGGTGGGACGCTGGGCTCCTGGCTGAGGGAGGGCATGTGTCTTAATTTAGTCAGGCTACTAACAGTCATGTTAATAAATGGCAAGTCACCTTTTTGTTCAGAAAAGCTATTCCCTTTCTTGAGAAGTTCTTTTAACATAAAAATCCAGGCTATGAAATTTAGACATTATGGGAAAATCTAAATTTAATATACAGGTAAAATTAGATGTAGAATTTTACCCCTGGAGAGCTTTAGACCAGTGGTTCTTGACTGGGGGCATGTCCCAAGGGACATGTGGCAATGTCTGCACACATTTTCAGCTGGGAGTGGGGTTGGGGTTCTGCTGCCGACATCTAGTGGGTAGAGGCCAAGATGCTGCCAAACATCCTATAGTCCCACAGCAAAGAATCATCTGATCCCAGATGTCAGTGGTACCACGACGGAGAAACCCAGCTTTGGGTCCGTGTGTGCACACGTGCTTAGTCAGACAAGGGCCCCACCGCCTTTCACGAGCCCCCTGCTGCCTTCATAGCTATGAAGATGGCCACCTTTTCTTGAGTGTAGGCCAGGTGCCAGGCAAGCTACCTCCATGATTTCCTTTAATCCCTACAACTTTTGAGGCAGGTATTTTTATCTCTGCCTTGCCGGTGAGGAACCTGAGGCTCAGTGGGTAATGTGTTCCAGAGGACCCAGTCAGGAAATGATAGGGGGGGTAATGGCTTAGGTCCGTCCCCTTCCCTGGTGCCTGTTCAACTCCAGAGGATGTGGTGGACCCACACCACCCAGGTTCAAGTCCCAGCTCTACCACTTCCTAGCTGTGTGACCTGAGCAACTTACTTAACCGTCCCTGTGCCTCAGTCTCTGTGTCTGAACAATGCAGACAGTAAGGCATGTGTGGCATAGGCCATGCCTGGAGAGTTGCACAGCTGACAGCAGTGCGTTTCTTTGCCCACGCATGGGGAGCTGACAGAGGGTGCAGCTTAGACGCGGACGGCGTGAGGGCGCCGTGTGCCGAGTGCAGTTCTGGTGTGCACGTGCTCAGTCCGTGCTGCCCGTTACATTTCCCTGTGGCCCATCGGATTTGCTTTTCAGAAGCTGGTCCACACTTCCCTTTTTCAGGGGTACACTGTGTGAAAGACAAAGCATGCTCGTGCGGAGGCCTGTGGGGCCGACATGCGTAATCTGTTCTGAGACTCAGCCTCTTTTCTGTTTGGGCTTACCCTTTTGCAGACACCCTGGGAGAGTTCAAGGAAATGAATAAAGGCATGTGGAAGAAACTACAGGAGAAGTTCGCCCCCAGGAGTCCTGAGGAGAAGCACAAGGCCTGGGCGCAGGTTTTATCTCGCCAGCGAACCTAAGCACGGAGTCTTGTACGTTGTCATCATAAATAAAACTGCCCTGGTTCCCCTCACTCCTTGGGGGTCTCATCCAGCCTCCACAGAAAGGACGCCCTATGGTTCCGGAGAAAGCTTCAGCCTAAGAGGGATGCCCTTGAGCATCTGCCTCACCCATGGTCAGGGTCAGGGTAGGGAAGTGTCTGGGAAAGAGGAAACAAAGGACTCCGTTGGGGCCTCTGGGCAAGGTACTTCCCATGCAGCCATAGGAGCCCCACCTGTCAACGGGGGTCTGGCTGGTTCCTGGCAAGGTTCTCCAGTTCCTTCTGTTGTAGGAGCTTCTGGTAGATAGCCAAAAACAGCAGTAAATGTGGAAGACGGCATCCTGTTGCAAACAGCAGGAAGTGGTCAGCAGAGATGAGAATAGCCTGCTTGGCCCCCATTTCCATGACTCAGAAAGACAGAACAAGGTCCTCTGCCGCTGGCCTTGCAGAAAGCCCATGTTCCAAGTTGGTTTAAGGGACAGAGTGGAGCTAGAGGGGCCTTGGCCAGCAGGGTCTTGGGCTGTGGTGGCTTCAGCCCTCTGTGCAGGTTCTGTGGGAGGCCACAGGGCAGGGACACCCTGGCAGGGACATGCACGTCAGTCACTTTATTGTTCATGGAACCTTAGCTCTTACTAGCAGCCTTCGTACCCGAGCTTTCGTCTGTTAAAAAGCAAGCCAAGAAGGGTTAGGGCAGGACCAGCAGTCTTGTGGGATGTGGAAGTCAGTTCTTCAGCATGTTTGCACCTGGACTCCTCAATGTGTTTCGGAATGCACACAATAAAATGCATAGGATTATGACCAAAACCAGTTATACTGCAATACAGTTGTAGTTCTGTCCAGGGACCCCTGTTAGGAATCACTGTGAGACAGTGTCACTCACCATCTCCAGGGAGCCCAACGTGAGGCCCGGCCAGCATTAGCCCCCTACAGACCCAGGGGTATAGGAAACAGCATTCCTTTCTATAGTTTTATTAATTTATTAAGGCAATTAACATATTAGTTCTCAGGCCAAAGATTTGTAAAACATTACACCAAAAGAAGAAAAAACAAGGGGTCAAAAACCAGCCACTCTGTCGCACCCCAGCCCTGTCACCAGGGCCTGTGCCTCTCCCAGGAGCAAGGCTCTCCATTCTCGAGTCAGCAGTCCACCTGGGGCCGGGGGTGGTCCAGACACACAGTGAGGTCTACACTGCAGCAGATCTGAGCAGGAGGGAGCTGTGTGGGCGGGGGCAGGGCTGTCCACAGCCTGGGAATAAGTTAAGTAACAAAGCCCTAGAATCCCTAGCAACAGCATTACTGCGCCTCCCCCAGAGGCAGCAGCAACCAATATGTAGTGCTTGGAATACGGAGGTGACCCCAGTCCTAATCACCCACAGGAGGAATATAAAGGAGTGTCAGTTACTGCTTTAAGAGACAAAGCAATAGTCCTTTTAGAGGACTTCTCTTTCTTTAAAACATGAAGGTAAACTGACTCCCGGTGAGTTTCTGAATCTTAAGGGCTCCAGGCGGGGCTGTCAGCTCTGTGGTTCCCCTCTCCGTGCTGGTCAGAGGCTGGGTGGGCACCTAGCCTTGAGAGCTAGTGGGCTGGCTGGGCCACCCAACCCAAGGGAAGGGGCAGTATTTCCAGTCACAGCTCTAGGTACAAGCAGCACCTGTCTGGCCTTTGACGGGGCCTTCGTAGCTCTCCTCAGCGGCTCATGCAGTTCTGGACATCCACGAAGCCCAGGCGTTGCCTGCGTTTCCGCTGCTCCGTCATCTATGGTTAGACAGATGCCAACAGGTCAGGCCGCCCAACGCCCTCTCCACAGGCAGTGCTGGCCCAGGCCTGCGCCCACCCTCCCACTGCGGACCCAGCTGCCTTTCAGCCCTGGTGGCAGGCCAGGGCCCTCAGGGTGCAGTGAGGATGTCAGCCTCAAACACTTGTCCCTGATTAGCATGTCACAGACCCCTGATTTGGTGCAGCTGGGAAAGCACCCCACCTGAAAGGGGCTGTATCTTTCAGAGGCTCAAGGATGGGAGTCGGCCACCCCTGCTCTAACTTTCCTTGGGGGGGAGTGTGGGTTTGAGATCCAAGAATGGAGACCAGGGAGAAGGAGACACACGAAGGCCCCAGCCGCTACTCCCTCCACCCCCTTGGCAGGCTGGACTGGCCCCTCAGTGACAGTCGGGGGCTGCCCGGTGGGTCCCCAAGGTGGTACCTAGATCAGGCTGGGCGCACACCTGCTCCTTGAGCTCGTTGAGCTGGGCGGTGAGGTGGGACACCAGCTTCATAGTGGAATTAAGCTTGTCCTGAAGGATGCGGATCTCGTTCTGCTCCCCCTCCCCTTCGTTGCTCACCAGGGACATGGCCCTCATCCGGGGGAACCAGTCCAGGTTCTTGTTCTGAAAAAAGATCACCAGTGGGGTGAGCAAGCTTGGGCCCAGCCCGGAAAAGCCATGTTGAGAAAAGCAGTGCCACCCCGCCCTCAACAAAGCACTCCCCAGGGATGTGTCATGGGAAAGTCTGAACTGACTGGGTCCTCCCCCGGGGCCAGAGCAAGCTGGCAGTGAACCTACTGCGGTTAAGGCCCAGCACTGTGACAGGCTGACTTCCGTTAGGCTGCCTCAGTCTTTCACTGCTATCGGCACCATCTGTTCACTCTCAAAACACGCCCGGAGCGGGGGTGCTCTGCACCAGACCCCGGACCTCCTTCCTTCCTTCCTTCTCTCCTCCCCGCAGCGCGCATGCCCCACACCCCAGGAATATTCGAGTCAAGCAGATGGCATGATCGGGGAGCAGGAGGCCTGCTGAGGATGCTGGGTCCAACACATGTCTGAGAGGCAAAGCCATGGTCCCCAGGATGGAAGGAGTAGTAGGGGTGCCAGGCAGCTTTCTGGTTCCTTATGGCAAGCTGTGAATTCTCAGACCAACTGATAAACCTGTACTCAAAGATCAATTCAAATTACAGACTTAAACACATAAAACTCTTTTCTTCCCACAAATATATCTTTGAGCCTGCAATGTATGTGCTGTGTGGCAACTTGAAGATGTGCCACATCAGTTACCCAAAAGCAATATATATATTCCCTCGGGATGGTCCACAGCGGTGGCCAGAGCAGGGTCTGCCCTGCTCCCATGCCACCGCAGCATCACGCACCCATGCCCAGGGTCACCACACCGTCCTTTGTGGCCGATGGGTTTGCCATGGCTTTTTCTTAACAACAGAGCCCAAGCAGGACCATCTGCGACACAGGCAGCTGGCCGGGCTCTGAGTCCCCAGGGGCGGGCTCCAGCTGCTCCTCTGCTCCCCTCCCGGCCTTTCGACAAGCGTCCACTGCGTCCCGCATCACCCCGGGCCTCCCCGGTTAGTGCAGGTGGCCGTAGCCACCCCTCCCAGGGCTCACACCTTGATCATCTGGGCCACGTAGCTCTCGGGCCCCGTGTAGTCCGTCTTGTTCTTCACACGGACCAGCACAATGAAGTACAAGTAGTTCCACATGTTGTGCTCGAACTTGATGTGCTCCTCAAATGACACCGTCTTGTTATCAAACTTGTCTCTCTCCAGACCTGAGGATGCAGAGTGAGGATGAAACCTCCCGCCTCCAAGAGCCCCTGTGGGCCGGCGGGGCTGCACGCACCACCTCCGCGGCAGGCACATCTGTTCTCAGGCTAGGTCTGACGAGTGCAGGCAGCAGCCCTCTCTAGGCTATTAGGTCACTTCTGTTACCCACTTAGTGTGGAGACTCTGCCCTGCCTCAGCTGCAGCCCTGCAAAACGGCAGCTAAGGACCATGGGAGCAAACATCAGAGTTCTTGAATCCAGAGAAGCAAGATTTGTCCTATATGTGACACCTGTTCCTTGGTGTGAGGTGGCTGGAGAGGGGACTAGCACTTCATACCAGGGATGGGAAAAGCCCTGGACTGAGACCAGAGGCTTGAGGCTGCTGACTGGGCTTTGGTGTCCTCTGCAAACAGGGTTTAAAGGGATGGTTTGAGGCCCTGTCCCACTCCCTCTTTCTCCAAGTTCAAGCAAGGGCCTATTGTCCCAATTCTGAGTTGAGCAGCCATCAAGCCATCAGTGCCAGGGCAGCCCCAGGACAGCCCCAGTGGCCACAGAACCCAGGGAAGGGCCAAACTGAGGCTGCCACTGGCCTACATAATGTCCCAGCCCACAGGTACCCCAGCCCCACTGTGACCTCTGCAGGATAGAAACAAGGACTCACCACAGATGAAGCACGTGGTCTTAAGAATCTCCTCCTTCTTCTGCTTCTCACTGCGCAGGTCAGCAAATGTGTCAATGATCACCCCAAAGATGAGATTCAGCACAATGATGATGACAATGAAGAAGAAGAGGAGGTCGTAGACCACTCGGGCTGGGAACAGAGACTCCTGCAGGGCAGGGCAGAGAGGCTGAGCCCAGCAGTCCCCTGGCAGGCAGGGCTCTAGTGGGGGTCAGGGCTATGACAGAGGGGCCCAGCCCGCAGCAGAAGGAAGATGGCAAAAGTGGATTAAACAGCAGACTCAGAAAGGAGGCCAGCCGGGACAAAGCCCTGAAGGAGCTGGGCTAGAGGTTAGGCCTGTCCCTGCCCCTAACTTCTGGTTAGGGGAAAGGCCAGAGTTGAACTCCTAGGCCCCACTCTCAATACACCAGGCCTCACATGTTCTAGAAACCCTCTGTGTGACCAGGGAGAGGGCTTCTCACCCCTATGAGACTGGGGGACAGGATGCTGTTCTGGGAAGGCTGGGCTGCCCAAGCCAAACCCTGAGGCCTCTCAGTGAAGCCAAATTCAGCTCCCCTGCTATGGGCTGGGGCTCCGCCTCACAGATAAAACCAATGCGGCCCAGAGACCTGCCCACCAGCTGACTCAGCCCTTCCCCAGTCTGGGCAAGGCTTGGTCACCAAGGTCTCCCCTTACAGAATCCACAGGGAGCTAGCTGGCAGGGTGTCTGCGCAGACTGGGGTGAGGATGGCCCAAGAATGTAACTGCATATCGACTAAGTGGGAAAGCACAGGAAGGAAGGTACAAACGGGGGGCTTATGACACTGAAGACTG